CCCAGAGCTCATGGTGGCTCATTGGCAGGATGGGCTGAACTGTCTAGTGTCCCCAGCTTGAGCCTCACCTTCCTGCTTTTCCTGCTGCCCCAGTGAGATGGGCTTCCAGGGTGGTGTTTAAAGATTGAAGCATTTGTTGCTGGGCTTTAGCAATAGCTCTGGGAAGAGGATCCCTCAGCACAGGGAGTCATACCAGCCTGCTCTAACATCTAGGCAAGTGATGAAGGGGCTGGGGCTCATGGTCAGATTTCCTGGGCTCAAATCCCAGCTGTCACTTTTGTGTATCCCCAAACCTCAGTTTCCTAATCGGAGGGGGGCACTACAGTTTCCACACAATAGGGCTGTTGCAGGGCTGAACGAGCTAACAGGTATGTGGTGCTGAGACTGCTCCAGAGCCTGGAATGTACCAAAGACTTTGTGAGTGTGACCTGTGACCACTGTTGCTGCTGCAGGTCTTACACGTGTTCCTGACGGGTTCCATTTTGCCTTCTGGGCTACAGAGAAGAACTCTGCGTCCCCACAATACTTTAGTACAGGTGCAGCAGCAAGCAGCTTCTGGCCCAGAATGATTACTTCCAGTCCTTCTAACAAGGTCCCAGGATCTGAGCCCTCCTGGGACCAGGAGGGTGGGGTTGGGGTGAAGCCAGCTGAGGCCTCAAGTGCTGTGTCTTCCTCAAATGGGGACACATGGCAATATCTCTATGCCCCTCAAACCAGAGCAGCCTTCTGTCCCCGTGGGGCTGGGGAAGGTCAGTCATCCAGGTATACACAGCTGACCAGTGACCCACTGTCCCAAGGTAGAAAGCCTCCAGGTGGCAGGCCCCACCTTCTGTGGTGAATCCTCATTGGTCCGTGATGGTCTCATTCTCTGTGCCAGCCATAGGCTGAGATGTGTTCATGTGACCCAGTTCTGACCAATGAGCTGAGAAGTCTGCAGGGCTGGGGATGCCCCTTCTCCAGGCTGTTTCCTCTTGAGGGCCCAAGTCTCCCGGAGCTGGGAGCTACCCCTACACAGGGAGATACACAGGGATCAACACTGCCAGGCTGATGGTCAAATAGGAAGGCAGAAAGATCCAGGTCCTGATAACATCATCAAGCCCTTAAGTTAGCCAACCTTGAAAAAGCTCAGTTCTTATCGCACGGGTTCCAACCTTTTTCTGGTTTAAGAAGTTAGGCCATGGCTTTTTGTTATTTTGTTATTCGCAGTCCAAAGCATCTTTGCTAATAATCCTAATTACCGTTCATCTTCCAGAGATTAAGCCCATTACAGCTGTCTGGGAAGACTTCCTGGAGGAGAGCATGGTCAAGTGGAATCTCAAAGGAAGAGCAGGTGGACACAGGGAGCAAAACCTTGGATTAAAAGCAAGAGGCTGGAGATGCCAGAAGGCTGTGGGGGACACCAGAGATCATCTGTGTTCTAGGGGTCTGGAAAGACACAAATGGGGGACCGTAAGGGCAGACGGGAGGCTCTGCAGGTGGCCTCGCTCTCTAGCTTCCGATCAACAACAGGTACACTGAGCTCTGTCCTTCTGACCTGCACCAGCCCCACTAGAAGGCTGCCCAAGTGTTCCCTGCAGAGCTGGGCAGGGTCATCAGCTTTTGCAAGCTGTGCTCCGCCTGCCAGGTCCCTTTCAGCCCCTAGGGCGCTCATCAGAGACTCCAGCAAATACATGGTTGAAATCTGGGTCACTTTGTGCGTGGGTCGGAAAATCCATCAGTCACTGACAGTCACTAAGCGCCTACAAAACGGTATGCTCAGGGCAGTGAAGATGGACCCGGTTCAAATCCCAAGCCAGTGGCTTCATATCCACGTGACCTTGAGTGGGCCACTGCACTCCTGCAAGCCTAGGGTCTCACCTCTGTGCAGTGCTGTGGGGCTGGGTAGCTCTTCTCAGGCCTGGTACCACTGTGGGGGGAGGGGAGGAGCAGACAGCACGATGCCCAAGAATTTCTAGGGATGCAGGTTTATAACCCAGGAGGGGTGTGAAGCAAGCGCATGATGTGCCACTGGGGGACAGAGCTGAGAGGGGGCATCCCAGAGCAGTCCTCAGGAAGTGGGGTCTAGATGGGATGGGCCAAGGGCCTCCCATTTCTGCCTCCAAAGGGCTAGCAGGGAGGAAGTGCAGGAAGGTTTCAGTTGTGGGCCCCTACAGCTTCCCAAAGAGGAGTGGGCATCATTTGCAAATGGAAACAGCAAAACCTCTGGTCACTTATTATGTACTCCTGAATGAGCCACTTAACCTTTGAGCCTGAGGTTCCTTCCTTGCAAAGCCAGTAAAACACCTAGTAGACACCATGGGGGGCCAGTGACTAAGTCTGCTGGAGGAGAAGGAGGATGGGGGATGGGGCCATCTTGGGGTGATATCACTAGGCCTGGGGGGCTGAAGTGGAAAGTACTGACAGGGGGGGGGCAGAAGAAGATGAAGGACAGGCACAGAAGTGTGATGGCAAAGAAGGTAAACTAGGGGTCATTGAGTCTCCTGGGGCCAAGCTAAAGGTAAGGTTTTGGGATCCAGATTTCCCAAAGCTGGGGCCAGGGCTGGGGAGATGGCTCAGTAAACTAAGCACTTTCCTGGCAAATGCAAGAGCCTGAGTTCAACCCCCGGTTCTGCAAAAAAAAAAAAAAAAAAAAGCAGATTTGCCAAAGCCTCGAATGCCAGTCAGGGGCTTGACCCCAGAGGGCAACTGACACATTTTAAACAGGCAGCACTGAGACACTCAGGGTGTTGCATTACTCTGGAGTAAATAGATTGTGGGGCTGCATCTGGAAGGCAGGTACTGCAGGCAGAGTCAAGGAGAGCCCAAAGTCCTCCCTGGACAGGTGATTTCTGCAAGCAGCTTAAGCAATAGATTGGCACCTTGGTGCCGCTTTCACACCTGCTAGAAGCCACAGCCCACCTCCGGCAGTCTGTGAAAAGTACCCTACTTTCATTTCACACGGACAGGACATGACGAGAGTCAGAGGAGGGTCACCTGCCTCACGCTCAGGCAATGAGAGGGCCCCGATCACAACCTGAGTCACAGCCTGGGCCTTGCCTGGGCTTAGGTTGCTTGCAGAAGCAGGTCCTCTGGGTCACTTGACAAATGTACTCAGAAGCTAGAGACAGGGAGGTGACCTTTGACCTCTGAGTCATCTGGAGTCCAAAGGGAGGACAGGGACCCAAGGAGGAGTAGGTTTTGCTTTGAACACATGGGCCAGCAGGGCTCACCCACCCCAGAGTCAGGTCTGTCCATGAGTCCTCCAAATTGGACCCTGGATATGCCCAGGGGTTGCTGGAAGCCCTTCCACAAAGGGCAAGGGTAGAGGGAGCCACCTTTTGCTGCTTTTCTAAGAAGCCCCCCAAAGTCCCCTCCTCCCAGCACCCAGGCCCCAGGCATAGCTGCAACCTGAGTCATCATGCCCATCTGAATGGTAGTTGTCCAGGCTGAACAAGGGCCAGGGGTTGGAAAAACAAGGCTGTCGTGTTAACTTCCAGCTCTGATGGGGGGAGGAGGGGCAGAGGGCAGGTAGACAGGTCGCTGGGAGACCGAACCCAAGGTGTCAACAGCCAATGGGGGCTTTGTGTGCTGTAGGGGGGTGGCTCAGAATCTGTGCTCTTGGCTTTTGTTTTCAAATGACCTGTTTAATGATTACCTTTTGCAATCAAAGGAGCAAGGGCTTCCAGAAGGCAAGTGTTCCAAACCTCCAGACCCCAGACCCGGAGGAGCTGCCCAGCCAGAGAAGAAAGTAAACAAGACACCCATCACTGGCAGGTCTGGCTGCCTCCAGCAAACAATGGCCCCGGCCTGAGCTCCCAGCTCAGACACATCAAAGTGAGATTTCCAAGCAAGAACTTTAGCAGGCAAATAACAGATTTGGATGGAATTATTTCCCTGAGTACCCTGAGCTCTGCACAGAAGGGGACAGCCCAGGGGTGGAGGCTGTCATTTCCTCTTAACCTTGACTGGTAGGTAATGCATTCATTCATTTTGCAAGGATTGGGAATCACTTTCACCCCCCCCCAAAAAAAAACCCCATCAAGCAACAACTTCACCATCCATTTTAACAGTAACAATGGTAGGCATCAAGGGCCATACAACAGCTACCTGCACTCAATTGCCCAGGGGGCTTAAGCTCCTTAAAAAACCAAAACCCTAATACAAATACCTACCAGGGTTCTCAAAGTCAAACCTTTACCCAGCACTGGGAAAAATCCAAGTTTTTTTTTTTATTCCTACCTTCGTTTTATCTTCCAAGGCCTTCAACTTCCTCCTGCATCCAAGCCCCGCTAGGAGGCAGATCCATAAACAAACCTGCCCCTCCCCTTCCACAGATCAGCACCCCCCCTGCTTCCCTGGACCCCGAGAGAGAAAGAATCGCGGCGACCCAGGCCTCGCAGCCCCCTGTCTGCCTTCCCCCACAGCCGCAGCCCTCCCAGGCACCTTGAGATAAACATCCACTAATGGTTTTATAATTTTTCTGCTCTGGGTGGCCGCGCTCTCTGGCTTGGATGAATCCCTCCCCCTTGGCCGTGGCGACCTGGGTGGGGGGTGGGGGGACAACTGAGAGGAGGAGGAGGAGGATGGGGGGGTTAGTTTGCTTTTCCCATTGCAGCGTCCCCACACCTGTTTTTCATTCGTTCGTTCATTCATTCATTCATTCATTCATTCATTCATTCATTCACAGATTCGTCACTGCGGTCCCCCGGGCCTGGGGATCTCGGGGAAGGGACCGAGATGGGTGTGTGTGTGTGTGTGTGTGTGTGTGTGTGTGTGTGTGTGTGTGTGTGTGAAGAGGAGGCGGTGACAGCGGCGGGCTAGAGGGTCAGGGCGCAGGGACCCCCTTGGGAGGGCTGAGGGGGTGGCTCTGTCGAAGGCCGACGCTCTCCGGGGCCGAAGTTGTTTTCCGCGGCGCGGCGACGAGGACAGCCGCCCCGGGGTGCGCCTCTTTGTCTGTCCCCGGCCGGGTGCCGCGTCGCGGGTGCCCCCCTCCCACACCAACCCCCAGCGCGCTCGCTCACCTGGTCTTGGAGGACAGGAAGGCAAGTTTGATGAGGCCGTAGGTGAAGAGCGGGATACTCTCCTTGGCGACGCTGGCAACTTGCAGCCGATGCTCTAGGATGTGGAGTTCCATCGTCCGCCCGCGTTCCACGGCGGCTCATCGGCGGGGGGCGACCCGTGGCCCCCCGCGCTCCTCCCCGCGCCCCGCCCCGCGCGCCCCGCCGGCACCGAGCCGCCCCGGGCCGGGATGGATCCAGTAGCGGAGGGAGACCCGGCAAGTTGCGAGGGGGGACCCCGGAAAGGAGCCTGAGGTAGGAGCGCTGGCGGAGTAAGCGAAGGAGCGGCAGAGCAGCGGCGCGCGGCGCCCGGCGCAGGCAGCAGCTGGTGTTCGCTGTAACAAACAACTTGCCACTCAAACGCCTGTCCGCTGCGCATGCGTCGCCGCGCAAGGCTTGATGGAACTTGTAGTCCGCACGCTGCCGGGGCGCCGCGGGCCGCTGGAGTATAAGGGGAAGGGGGGGCTGAGTAGCTGCGCCACGAAAGCATTGGATATTCGGCGGCGCGAGGCTCCGCAGGCCCGCTGAGAAGTCCGAGAGGAGTCCGAGGCATTTGGAACCAGTCTGAGCCTGGGTGTATGCTCTTGTTGTTTATTTTAGCTCCAGGCTAAGCAATTTGGCGGGAGAGGGGTGGGACCCCAAGACGACTCCATAGCTGGAGGAAGCCTAGACTTGGGAGGAAAGAGATTTAGAGAAATCGGCAGAGCGCAGAGAAACCAAACCTAAAGGGCATGTTGGGGACAAGGAGGAGGGGTCCAAGAAGGCTGCTCCTCAGGGAGGGAGGGGACATCCAGGGTGGGTTCTGAAGGATGAATCGAAGCTCGCGGGCAGGGGGAGGGTCGCGTGGACCCAGGGCTGCGGCCTTTCAGAAAAAAGGAACAGCGTGTCCTAAGGCACAGGAGCGTGAAAGCCCTCACCGTGCTGTTTGGCTTTGTTGCAGCGGAAAAAAGCGAGGGGGTAGAGACGGGAGATAAGGCAGGCGCAGTAACCAGGACTCAGGTCGCGAAGGTCGCGTGTAGGGGCTGGCCGGGCGTTATCCCTCGGGAGAGGGAGCAACGAGCGACAGGGACCTCGAGAGCCGGATTTTTTTTTTTTGGGGGGGAGTGGATCTGAAAACATGGAGCCACTTCCAGCCTCAGGGCTGGGGCCCCATTCCCCAGACATTGCCCCCTTCATGGGTGAATGGTTTTGAAATTTTCTAGGTTAGAGGTGCTGGAGCTTTGCCCTTTGGCAGACTTCATGGCTCAGGTCTACCTGCTGGGGCAGGCTGGGAGCCCTCCTTTTGAGCGAGATTCCAGGCGGTCTACCGATATTCGCAGCACTTCCCAGCCCTCCTTGGTTAGATAAGAAAGTTATTAGGCTCCCTCATTTCCACCAGTGGTATGGAACCTGTAATCTTGAATAAATCTCGGAGATGCTTGCATTCCTCTTGTTTAATGTTCACTGAAGAATTTCCACCTTCTGATAGAGAATATATGGAAAATAGATTTCTTTTTATTTGTCCAACCCTCTGTCCATAACCAGCTAAACCTCCACTCAATAAAAACAGTGATTAAAACAATTTCTTTCTTTCTTTCTTTTTTTTTTTTTTTGCCGAACCAGGGATTGAACTCAGGCCCTTGCACTTGTCAGGGAAGCACTTATTCTACTGAGCCATCTCCCCGGCCCCCCAATTTTTTTTTAATTGGAATGGAACCCAGGACCTTCTCACTGACTATACCTCCAAGCCTTTTTTAAGTTTTGAGACAGGGTCTCACTAAATTGCTAAGTTGCCCAGGCTTGCAGTCCTGCCTCAGCCTCCCAGAGTGCTAAGGTTACAGCTGTGCGACACCATGTGCCCCTGAAGACAGCAATTTTTGTCTGTTTTCGGCTGTATTCCCAGTCTGGGGCCTGACAACTGGCACATGAGAGATGCTCACTCAGTATTTTGGGACTCCACAAATGCATAGTCTATGCCTCTTTGATCATAGATCCGCCAGGCCCAAGCAGAAGCGCATTCAGGCCCAGAACGTAGCATTCAAGTGGGCCAGAGCGGCACCAGAGAAGAGCAGCCTTCCTGAAGGCACAACTTTTAGTTTCTACCAAAACAGCCAACAGGTGATGAAACAAAACAAACAAGGCTAATGGCCACATTTGACTGGTTCTCTGACTTCTGCTCTGGATGGCTGGAGTCTCTTCTTTTTCAATATGCAGGCTATGACCCTTGAGAGGATGGTGAAATCAATTAAGCAGGGCACAACTGGCACTGAAAGTAAGAAAGGAAGAAATAGAATACAAGGTCCCGAGAACTGCACATAGCAAGCCAAGGTTATGATGCTTTTTTCTGTGTTTTGGGGAACACTGGTTTTGGCCATGTGTACTTGTGTACACACAGGCGTGTATGTTTGTGTCTGTGGGTGCATATGTGTATTAGATCTTCACAAAAACCTATTAACATAAGTTGATCAAAAAGATTTGGAGGCCGGGGAGATGGTTCAGTGGAATAAGCGCTTCCATGCAAGCGCGAGGGCCTGAGTTCAATCCCTGGTTCTGCAAAAAAAAAAAAAAAAAAAAAAAAAAAAGAAAAGAAAAGGTTTGAAAACACTATGGACTTTATATTTACCCAAGTCAAGCTATCTAAGTTTGCAAATGCAAGTGTATTGGTTTGACTGACAGAGGCTTCCACAGAATTATATTTGGTGCTTAAGATTTCCATGAAATTTATTGAAGGTAATATTCATATGTTTAGGAAACTGACTTCTGGGTTACCAAGTCCAGAGGATGGCTGCAGGCTGGGATTAGGGTGAGATCAGGAAGCCCCTTGGACAACTGACTTAAAGCTACATATGATGACTTTCAAGACAACGCAAGGGGTAGGGGCGGGTGCCATCCCAGAACTCCCTGTCTCTTAGATCTGTAGCCCTTCTGTATTCTGGTCTTTTGCTAGTTCCTTTTGATTCTTAACTGGTTTGTTGAGTCCTCCTAAGATGAATGGAGGTCCACCTTGTGTTCCTTCTTGCAGTATGTTATAGCAGTAGCTGCCTGTAAATTATATCTCTGGAAAGTCCTTCCCCACCAGCTGTGACTTCAGCTTTGTGGCTTTGGTTTGGCCAGTGAGATAATAGCCTGTGTGCTGGGTACACCCCATGTGTTGGGACTTGTAATCTGGATGCTACCCTGTGACCTGCTATAAGAAAGCCTGGATGAAAGGCCACAAGGACAGGTCCAACTGACATAGCTGGAGCTAGCCCCTATTGATAGTAGCTACCGTCTGCCAGCCGTATGAGGTAATCTTGGGCTTTCCAGCTGACTGTCCAGCTGAAGGTATATCAGTGTATTTCCTGTTGCTGTATCAAGATATCCGAGGTTGGGTAATGTGTAAAGAAAAGAGGTGTGTTTAGCTCACAGTTCTGGAAGCTGAACACACCCATGATTGGGTGGCCCTGGTGGTTTGGCATCTGATGAGGGTGGCATAGCAAATGGGATTCCATGGCGGGAATAGGTGTAGAAGAGATCATGTGGACAGATGGAAGGCCAGAGAAGGGGAGGGGACAGGCTTGTTCTTTTCTTTACCACCCACTCTTGGAGGAACCCCCCAGGTCTGGAGAGAATGACTTTAATCCCTTCCAAAGGTGGCACCTCCAGTGACTTAACCATGCTCTTCTTGGGCCTTCATCTTACAGGTCCCACTGTCTCTGAATCAGCACCCTGGAGACCAAGGCTCTGGTACATGTACCTTCATGGGACAAACCACATCCAAACACCAGGTGAAACCAAGAGAGAAAAGATCCAGCTGACCATAGAGATGTGAAAGATTATTGTTTTCGGGCACTAAGATTCAGGATGGTGATACAGCTGTGCATCTCCTTAGCCTCACTGTCTCGTAGGCTGAGCATGGCCAGTCTCTGGTTTCCAAGCCATCAGTGGCTCTTGGGCTGTTGGCTCCAGCTCAGAATATCTCTCCACAGTCTTGAGTCACACAGCTGACTCCTTGGTGCTGGCCATGTCCATCTGCATGTCCACACTGGCCATATCCATCTGCATGTCCACAGGCTTGGTAAAGCCATTGTGTTCAAACTACTTCAGCATCTGACCTATGTTGAGCCCACTTGGATCTTTCCTTTTTCCTGTTCTCTCTGCCTTTTTTCTTTCTACATTGGCTGTGAATCCAGGGCCTTCACACTGAGCCACATCCCTACCTCTTTTTATTTGGATACAAGATCTTGGTAATTCTCTGAGTTGCCTGGGCTGGGCTCAAACTAGGATTCACCTGCCTCAGCCTCCCAGAGTGCTTTAATTATAGGGGTGTTGTATTCCTGGCTCTAAGTCCTGTCTTGGATGACAGGACCTTCTCAGTCTTGCAAATTACAAACCTCAGTGGCTCATGTTGTTTTCCAAGATGGCCACAGATCTTGCAATGTTTGCATTCCTCTTGCAAGATGACCCCGACAGTTGTCATAGTAATAGGCAGATCTACACTGTTGTCCCTTGACTCTGGGCCAGGCTGTCATTGCAGAGGAAGTGGCCCTATTGTGACTTCTGAAACTAGTTCTAAAATGGAGTACTTTTGCACCTAGTTGCCCTCTTGGGTACCTAGTTGCTCTCAAAAGCCACCAGCCATGCTGAAGAAACATGGGCCACCTGGGAGGGCCACCTGGGAAGGCCACCCGGTTGCACGAGCCTATTAGGGCTACTGTGCCAAAGTACCACAGAGTGAGTAGCTTAAACCAGTGGTCCCCACACATTTTGACACCAGGGGCTGGTTTTGTGGAAGACAGTTTTCCCACAGACCTGGAAGGAGGGAATTGTCTGGGGATTGTTCAAGTGCATTGCACTTCCCGTGCACTTTCTTTCTCCTATTATTACACTGTACGCTTTATTTGTATCATTGCATTAGGTTGTCATAGGACCCTAGATCCCATGCATGCATGGTTCACGGCAGGCTTGCCCCCCTTTCGATCTAAAGCCCCTCATCTGACAGGTGGTAGGGCTCAGGCAGTGATGCAGCTGGAAACAGATGCAGCTTCGCTCAGTCCCTCAGTCTTGGTTTTAAATCTGAAAGTCCCTCATGCTTTAAACCACACATTGGTCCTAGGAAAACCAGAGCAATGGTGACTGTCTTCTAATCCTACTTGGGTATTGTCTGAAACCTGAAATGTGTGTCAATTTTTAAACTTAAAGGAATGAAAATGATGTAGAGTTACAAAGTCAGTCACGTGTGCTACTGTTATATAACACACAGCCCACACTTAGTGGAGTACAAGGATAGTTACTTTATTAGTTCACAAATTCTGTAAACCATGAATTCAGACAGAACTCATGGGAATAGCTCCTCGTCGCTCCACAGAATCTGGCCTCGCCTGGGGAAGATGGGCATGGTAGGGGAGACATGACCACCTGGGGCTGGAGTCATCTGGAAGCTTCTGTCTTTCATGTCCAGAGTCTGGTGGGGTTGCGCTGGGGCTGTACATAGGAACACTGTCCATGTGGCCTAGTGTGGTGGTTAATTGTGAGATGCCAACTTGAGTAAGGACTGCCTAGCAGACCATTAAAGCTCTGGGTGTGTCTGTGGTTGATTGACAGGCCAGCAAATTGAAGGAGGAAGATCCACCCCCAATGTGACTGACACCAACCAATAGGCTTATAGCCTTGGGTGGCGTCAACCAATAGGCTTGTAGCCTTGGGTGACACCAGCCAATGGGCTTATAGGCTGGACAGAAGAAAAAGGGAAAAAAAGAAAGTCTTCTGTTTTCTTCATTGGAATTGCATTCTTTGCCATTGCCTTTGGACTTTGGTCTCCAATTTCTTTAGGCTTTGAGTGCAGACCCGAGCCTTCCAATGCAGACCCTTTCTAATCTGGACTCAGACAGAACTCTTTGAAGCTGTAGGCCTTCAACCTTTGATTGGATTCTCCTGCTCCCCAGCGCATGGATGGCCATCTTACATTCTCGCCCCCCCCCCCATTCTGCAGGCAGCCATTGTAAATCTACTTAGTGAATCCTGCATGTAATCATGTATGTGCATTTTATATTCCTATGTTCCTCTCGTGAACCTTAGGAGTGTGCCTGGGCTACTCATAGCCCAGAGGCTACATTCCCAGAAGGGGTCTTGCAAGGAGAGCCTAGAGACCATGAGGGCTTCAAAGGAGACAGATGGAAGACTCAAATCCATTTATGACTCAACCTCAGAAATCAGGAAGGTGTCACTTGCGTTGTTGTTTCTAGATGAAAAGGGTCACAAGCCCAGCTTGGGTTAAGGAGTGGGGGCATCGGGAGTGACAGAGCTGTCTGTGGAAGAATGTTAGGTGTGTTTATTCTTGCACCCAGCTTTGGTAGATGCAAGACACTGGTACATAAGGACCAGTGAGAGGACCCAGTGAGCTTGCGGCTTGTGCCTCAGCTTTGTTTTCTCATTAGGCCAGTTCCGCCACACAGCTCTGGGCAAAGGTCTTGGAAATAAGCTATAACCCTATTTCGCCAGCCTTTCCAAAGGTTTTCTTCCTAGCAGGACATAGTGGCGCATGCCTGTAATCACAGCATCCTGGGAGGCAGAGGCAGGAGCACTGCAAGTTGGAGCCCAGCCTCGCCTACTGACCAAGAAGAGCCAAACTAAAAAATAGCAAAGTTCTGAGGATGTAGCTCAATGCAAAGGCCCTGGGGTTCAACACTCAGTTAAGATTCTGTTCCCTATTTGTTATGGTTTGTGTCTAGCTGTCTCCCCAAAGCTTCACACAGTCACTGGGGCAGGCTTCTAGGGTTTGTAATTCATGATCCGGTGCTAGGATTGTGGGTGTGAGTGCTACACTCACCCAGGGCGGAGAGCCTGACTGCTGTACATAAAGCAGGGAGAGAGGCTTTCTAGGTGTCGCAGCCACTGCTGCCCCTTTGCTCTTCGCTGTTTTCTGCCCCCATGAACTGTTGCCGCTCTGCCTTGGAGCCAGCCCAGTATGGACTGAAACCTCCACTGTGAGCTAAATAAACCTTTCCTTCCTTCGTTTGTGGGATTGGGTATTTTATTCCCAGCAATGGAGAAAAGCAACCAAGACACTTCTCAACTGGGGGTAACTTAAGCTTTTTATGTTGAGGGGATTCTAGAGCCACAGGTAACTAGTTACTCCTGTGTCCGTCACCTAGAATTGCCCAGTGGTGACAACTTGCATAATCCCCCAGCCAGAGCACCGGCTGTGTTTGTATGTGTTCTGTGTGATTCACCCAGTATTTCAAAATATACTCACTCTTTTTTTTTTTTTTTTTTCTTTCCAGTACTGGGAATTAAACCTGGGACCTGTCCCTAGTTTTTCTTATAAATAACATCTTACATTACTATAGAACATTTAGTGAACTAAATAGTAACTAAATTTAATGAACTAAAATTGCTACATTGTTAGTAACTGAAGCACAGTATCTCGTGTAGATTTCCTTAGTTTTTGCCTAATGTCCTTTTTCTGTCCCCAGAGCACACCCCAAGTCCCATGTTCCATCTGGTTGTCATGATTCCTTAGGCTCCTGTTTGGCTGTGACAATACATTCAATATTTTAAAATAAATCCCTTCTGTATGTAAACTGGCCAGAGTGGACCCGGTTGCTTGCAACTAAGACCCATAATAGATACACTGGCCTTCAGCACTCCCCACAGCCTGACTCTGGTTGCCCTGTGGCTTCATCTGCCAGCCCTTATTGGCACTGTCATTTACCACCCAGTGAGAGGCGTGTCTCCCTCCTCCACACTCCCTGCTGCTAGCCTCTTTGCACAGGTGGACAGACGGGGTGTGTGTGTGTGTGTGTGTGTGTGTGTGTGTGTGTGTGTGTGTTGCTGGGAACTGAACCCAGAGCGTTGACACTGAGCTACATTTTTAAACTTAGAAACAGAGTCTTGTTAAGTTGCTGAGTTACCCAGGCTGAGCTCAAACTTGTGATCCTGCCACTTCAGGCTCCCGGAGTGCTGGGCTTACCCCTGGCTCAGATGTCTTCATTTAAGTGCCGGTATTACTGTCTTCTTGGGAAGCCTTTCCCGACCAGCCCAGCATGCCTGCCTGCCTGTCTGTGCTCTGTGGCCCGGGCTCTGTACTGTGGGCTATGCACTTGTTAAAAGCCTGTTCTCCTGGCTGGCAAAATAGCTCTGCGGACTAAACACCTGGTTAGGCAAGTGCAGGGACCAGGGCTTGGCACACATGCTGTGCTGGCCCCGCCCCTAGGCATGCTGAGCTGGCCACCAAGACTGGGCATGGTGGTGCATGCCTGTAATCCCAGCGCTGGGGAGGCTGAACACAGGAGGATCACTATGAGTCTGAGCTGCGAAGCGAGCCCCTGTACCAAAAAAAAAAAAAAAAAAAAAAAAAGCCTGTTCTCCAGTGTCAGCTGGGGCTGAATGTGAGCTCTGTCTCCACCTGCTGTGTGGTCTTGGACAATCTGCTGACCCTGTGGGTGGACGGCTCCTTTTATGTCAATAGGATGCGAAGAGGCCTTCCATCCTGGACTACAAGGAGGACTGTATGCCCTCAGTAGCCCGTGGCCCTAGCTGGGTGGCATTCAGTGGAGGTGGCCTGAGGCCACGGGGATATGACACGCACCTCTAGAGCTATGAGGGGAGGGCAGGGGCCTTCTCTTTCTCATTCTGCTTTCCTTATTCTCAAAGCCCCCAGTGGCAGGTGTTTGCTCAGGTGGCCTGGGGAGTCACCTTGCAACCCAGGAAGCTTGGTTCCCTTGAGCTCTGCTATATTCCCCTTGGGGGCAGCCAGGTCTCTAGGCACTCCATCTCTGGGAATCTGTGCTTGCAGGCAGCCGGGCGGCACTGTGCTCGAGGTGAGAGGCCCGCAGCGTTGGCTCAGGCTTCCATCTCGGCCCCATCTTCACCAGCCGGGTGACCCTGGTCAAAGTGCTTTACCTCCCTGGGCCTCCAGTTCCTCATCTGCCAGGTTACAGGCCGTCTGCATCCCTGAAAGGGGCAATGCAAACTGAAACTTGAGGGCTTTTGTTTAAAACTTAAGAAGTTCTGCCTTCCGCCACAGCAACCATTGAAAAAGAGTAGCCATGGCCCTCCGCTATCCCATGGCCGTGGGCCTCAACAAGGGCCACAAGGTGACTAAGAATGTGAGCAAACCGAGGCACAGCCGCCGCCGCTGTGGACGTCTTACCAAACACACCAAGTTCTTGCGGGACATGATCCGGGAGGTGTGCGGCTTCGCCCCCTATGAGCGGCGCGCCATGGAGCTGCTCAAGGTCTCCAAGGACAAGCGCGCCCTCAAGTTCATCAAGAAAAGGGTGGGGGGGCTGCGGAGATGGCTCAGTGGAATAAGCGCTTCCCAGGCAAGCGCAAGGGCCTGAGTTCAATCCCCGGTTCCGCAAACAAAACAAAACAAAAACAAAAACAAAAACAAAAAGCTTTCACTAAAAGACTCATGACCTAATAAATAAACTCAGCAACATAGCAAGATACAAAATCAACAAACAAAGAAAAGGGTGGGGACGCACATCCGCGCCAAGAGGAAGCGTGAGGAGCTGAGTAAGGTACTGGCCACCATGAAGAAGGCAGCTGCCAAGAAGGACTGAGCCCCTCCGGAATAAAGCTTTGCAGGAAAAAAAAAAACAAAAAACAAAAAACAACAAAACTTAAGAAGTTCCAAACAGCGACAGGAGCCCATGGACTCCGGGTGGAACTGGCGAGGTCGCATGCCCAGCAGCCGTTCCTGGGGATTGAATCCAGGGCCTTTGTGCTGAGCTACATCAGCAGTCCTTTTCATTTTTTACTGAGATACAGTCTTGTTAAGCCTCTAAATTGTCCAGGCTGGGTGCAAACTTTCCATCCTCCTCCCTCTGCCTCCCAAAGTGCTGTGGTGTGCGTTACAGTCTCCAGCTGCAGACACTCTGAATGGTGCTGGGTTTTGTCTCTCTTGCTCAGAGCTGCATGCAAAGTGCCTGGAACAGTGAGCACAACTTCAGTGAATGTTTGTTGAATGACTATGTGAGTGAATGAGTGGAGGCAAAAAGTATCAGCTGGTGGAGGAGGGGATGGGGCTAGACTCACCTCTGCCACGTTCCTTTCCAGGACTTAGTTTCTCCATCTGTAAAATGGAAGTGGTGGCCTAGCTGATCCTGAACCCTCCTTCTAGGTCTACAGTTTTGCCCTCGTTCAAAGTAGATCAGAGCTCTGCTTTTGGGATTTGCCCTCTGAGGCAGGAACTATCCTGGCTTGTCCTTGCCTGTAGCTTGGATCTGCAAAACAAATGTGGAGAATGCCCTGTAGAATTTGCCAATGAGGTCAGTAGAGAGAAGTCTGGGCTGAGATAAGTCAGTGCATCTTGATTTTGATATCCTTGGGCAAATGATATAACCTTCGAGGGCCTCAGTTTTCATGTCTGTAAAAGGGGATAATAATGCTACTCCCGTGCTGTGACACATACCTGTAATCCCAGCACTTTGGGAGGCTCAGGCAAGAGGATCCTAAATTTGAGCCCAACCTGAGGACAACACACCAGGGAGACATGCCAGAGATGGCTGGGCCAGGGAGGGGACATCTGCACTGAGAGGGAAGTGACTAAAGGCTACTTGCAAAAGTCTGGAGGCAGAGTGTGCAGCAGACAGTTTGGCAGCAGGACACAGGGTGGGCCCTGCTCACCTTGGAGGTGGTGAGCTCCCTGTGGCAGGGAGGGTGTCCCCACCAGGAAAGGCTGCCATCTCCAGTGGGAAGTTAGGTTGGAGGAGCAGAGGTTGGAGCCAGGTTGTTTGTATCGTTAAAGCCTGGATTTGGACTTTGCCTGAAGCCCAGAGATCCCCAGTTGACCCAGAGTCCTGACTTTGGAGGCCCCAGGCTGCTCAGACAGGCGTGGAAAGAAGAGAAGGAAACAAAGGCCATTTCTGGGGCTCAGGTTCTCTAGTGTCCAGGGGAGCTGGCTTTGTGCCTTCCCCAAGTTGAGCAGAGAAAGTAGAGGGCCATGGGGAGCCCCTGAGGGTCCCATTGCTTGGTTCTGGGGAGCCCTGGGCACACTCTCCTTTCCTCACTTTCTCCAGGGATGCGCATTCTCGCCCATTTCTCTGATTCTTGGCTAGAGGTGCCATGTCCTTCCCCTCCACACCCCTCAGGAAAAGGTTACTCCTAAGAAAGTGCAGGGACTGGATTAGTGTAAGCAGGCCGGGTTTGACCTGTGCTTGCCATTGTCCCATTTCAGGGACACAACCTGCGTTCCTTCTGTTCCCGGCCTCCCAGCCTTGCCAGGGGACCCTGGGGACCTGATGTCAGTCCCCTCCTGCTTCCTACACACAGCCACCTGGCCCTGCTTGGCTGTGCTGTGGCAGGGAGCACGCAGCATGGAAAATGATCCAATGTTTGCACCCTTGGGCGCCAGGCCTGAGCCCACGCTGGCCTCTCTCCTCAGGGCTGGGCAGCCAGTCCCTCGACCTTAGCTGTGCAGGTGTAAGCGCATCATTCGGCAAAGGCATTGAATTGTGTTAAAAGTTTCACTAAAGTAAGACACTTTGCTGCTAATCCTCAGAATCCTCTGCGTCCCTATGAACACCTCGTTCTGCCATTCTTGCCTCTCTGTCTTTCCTGTCTGTCTGTCTCTGTCTCTGTGTCTCTGTCTCTCTGTCTGTTTGTGTGTCTGTGTGTCTGTGTGTCTGTGTGTCTGTCTGTCTGTCTGTGTGTCTGTCTGTCTGTCTGTCTGTCTGTCTCTCTGTCTCCAGGAGGAAACGTTCATTTAACTCACAGTCTGCAGAGGTTTCAGTCCATAATCGGCTGGCTCCGAATCAAGGTAGATGGCAAAGAAGGTGGCAAAGCAACAAGGGCCACCCACAGCTCTTCTGTCCTTTGTGTCACCCAGGCTACTCGGGCAGGCAGAGCTCGTACCCTTAATCCCAGTGCCCTGGAGCCTAGCACTGTGCCCTGCATCAGTCACACACTCTGGATCCAGCCATCTCTGAAAAGGACCCACCAGTGACTGCATGAGGCTTTGGGGCGGGGGGCAATTTAGACGGAAACCGTAACATTCCACCCCTGGTCCCCGAAAGATTAATTCACATCCTGTTATGCAAAAGCCCATCTCCAAGAATTGCCAAAATCCCAATAGTTTCAGCATTGCTGAAAAATCCAGCACCTGTCTCTGTCTCTCTGTTTCTCTCTACCTGTCTCTGTCTCTCTCTGTCTTTCCCAAAGTTGGGATTTAAGGCAAACTTTTAGCTGGAAGTCCCTGTGCAAGTGAAAAGAAAGTTAAACACTTTCAATGGCACAAAGATAGACATTTCTATTCCAAAAGTTACAAATAGGTCAGGTATGGTGGTGTAGGCCTGTAATCCCAGCACTTAGGAAGCTGAGGAAGGAGGATTGTTATGAATTTGAGGCCAGCCTGGGCTACATAGTGAGTTCAAGGCCAGCCTGAGCTGCGCAGTGAAACCCTGTGTCGAAAACACCAAAACACAAACAAACAAACCAACCTACAACAGTTAAAAATAGGGGAATACAAAGGAATGGGCCCAGAGTCCTTGCTACTTTCTGAAGTAGTTCTGCAAGTCTCTTTCATGAGTGTCTTTCATTGCACTGTTGTGGCTGCCTCAGTATCTTGAATAGATTCAAAACATTTCTTGTTTATGATCATTTTAACTTTCGGGAAGAGCCCGAAGTCACAGGGTGCCACATCTGGTGCATAAGGTGGACGAGGACACAGCATCATGTTTTTACGAGCCTGCCTTTCTCCTGGTTGGTGCTTGGCAACCACGGTCACTGAATTTGTGCTCACATGTTGTGAAGACCCTCAGGAAAGAGGGCCTCCAGACCTGCCTTCAGAAAGTGGCAAGAACCATTGGATGAGTGTGCTCTGGGCTGGGGGAAGATTTGGAGGGATGAATGACAGGCAGGCTTTTGCTGTAATGAAGCTTTAAATGTTCACTGTGTCACTAATCTTGCATGTGCTGCGTGCGTCCTGGTGTATACCTGTGAAACCTCTGGGGAAGGGACCAGCGTGTGTGGGGGTCATTCATCCCTTCTGCATCTTCCCCTGGCCTAGAGCACGCTGATCCCATGGTTCTTGCCTCGCCTCCCCCCATGCTCCTCAGCCCAACATCTTCCTGTGTTGTCTTTTCTTTTTTGGTCATTACTGATGACTGACTGGTCACAGAGCTTCCAAGGACCCAAAGCTTGATGGGGTAGAAAACAGAGGCCACAGTGGTCACCTCCATGCTCCTGCTCCTGACACCTCTGTGCCTCAGTTTCTCCACCTGTACATTGGGGTTGTTATGAGGATCGGAGGTGACATGTGGAAGGACATAGAGGGGACGTTGTTTGGTCCATGTCCCAGTCAGTGGGACTGTAGCTTTTTATAATAACTACTTAGCCCCTAAACCAATTCTGGAAAGATTTGGCCTGGGAGTCCAAAGGGTGCTATGGGGTAGAGTTGTATGTCCACCCAGGGGTCACTGAGACATAGGTCTCAGGTACCTGCCTGCTGGGGAGGTGGGGAGGTGTTGGGTACTGACTGGGGGGGGGACCAGAGAAATCACAAATGATGAATCTTTTTATTATTTTTATTTTTGGGGAGCACTAGAGATTGAATCCAGGGCCTTCACACTGAGCTACACCCCTTAACACTTTTTTATTTTGAGAGAGGGTCTCACTAAGTTGAGATTGGATTTTATCTTGAGATCCTCTTGCCTCCTCTTGCCAGGGGTGACAAGTGGGTGCTGCCACACCCAGCTCAGAAATGAATCCCTTAGGCTCACGGGTGGCCATCTGAGGACAGTAAACCAGGGAAGGCGGGTGGGACGGTGTGCAGCTGTCTCAGTCCATTTTGTGCTGCTGTAGAGAACATAGTCCTGGCCTGGGGTGCACCTGTAATCCCAGAGAGGCTGAGGAAGAAGGACCATTGCAAATCCAAGGCCGGCCTGGGCTGCATAGCAAAACTCTGTTTTAAAAAGAAAATAAACAAGAAACCAAACAACAACAACAACAACAACAACAACAACAACAACAACAACAAAACAAACCAGCAGCAACAAAGCAAAGCACATATGTGAGGCTGTCTATTTTATAAGGAAAAGAGTTGTTTGGTTCACAGTGCTGCAGGCTGCAAAGTCCAAGTGTGGGCAGCCACATCTGGTGAGGGCCTTGTGGTGCATGTGACCTGGTTCCTGGCGTCCCTACAGTGAGTGTAGGGGAGCTAAGCCCTGGGTTGCTTCACTTTTAAGGCACCCAGTCTGGGTTCTCGCTGGACTCTTGGAGAAAAGCAGCAATTCCTCTTCAAAAAGCAGAGGGGCCCACTGCCTCCCAGCACTGTTTCAGTGAGTCCAGAAGGGACAAAGCGTATCGAAAGCAGAGCAGTGGTCTTTCCACAAATGAAGGTCACTCAGGACTTGTGGGATGGCCCATGACACACATGCAGGGCCAGGGAGATGGTTCAGTGGAATAAGCACTTCCCTGGCAAGCTCAAGGGCCTGAGTTCAATTCTTGGTTCCACCAAAAAAAAAAAAAAAGACACACATGCAGTGCCTAGAAATGGGGGTGTCCTGGGGCCCCAAACTAGAGCTGCCCCAGATGCCTCTCCTGTGTGCTCACAGCATATGGG